GAAGATTTTATAAATAGTAGAAAGGGTAGAAGGTAAAGGCTATGCCTACCAAATACGATAGTATGCATCAAGTAACAGTTCTACTCCGTATTTTATACTAGTAAGTTACAACAAAGTATACTTGTCTAGATTTATTGAACTTAAAATCAATGTTCATTGTAACCGACACTATATTTTCCTTCATATAACTATATTTTTAGTTATTTATTATCTTATAACCAATATAAGGGTGTTTTTAGTTGAACTGGCATTTTTTTCGTCTGGTCTGATTTGGTCTGGTTTGTTTATGTATGTTCTGATCTGGTCTAAATTGGTATGAATTGATCGGATCTGATAATGTTTGGTCTATGTCTATTTTACAACTATCGAAGTCTGATTTAGTTTGATTTGGTCCATTAAAATCTAATTTAGCCTAATTTGGTCTGTTAAATTTTGGTTTAGTGACTTAGTCTGGTTTGATCTGATCAGCCTGATCTGGGACTGAAATAAATTGGACTAAAACCGTTGATATGAAATGAATACATCATCTATCAATCCTCTCAATTATGGACTCCAATCGTTAAAATGACTTTAACCACAACATCAGTCTCTCAAAGTTAATTTTGATATATGCTAAATAGTTGCAATATTAGAAATTTTACATTACTCACGTGTTTTATTTTGACTCTATTTTATTTACGAATATAACAAACATTGTTCATTCAAAAAGTATATTTAAATTCTTCTCACTTTAAATGATCTAAATGTGATTTTTTTGAATTTTTTACAATTAAGAAATTACATGTATTAATAGTTAAGGTCGTGTATTGACAACCGTGAAATGGAAGCGTGATACATTAATAATTTATACGAAGTACATTTATATCATATAGGACTGATATTTGAGATCAATCACAAATAACAATTCACCGTATTTCGAAGACATGGTTGTGACAAACTAGTGGTCTAGTACATGAAATTTTCATCGTATCATTCGTATGATAACTTTATTTATTACAAGCATGGTGGTAGCTGAAAATTTTCGACTCAAATGGTTCAATTTTGACAAATTATTAACCAAACACAAGACTTAAGTAAGAACAAAAAGTCAGCCGAGAAACTTAAGTTTAGTATAAGGCTATGTATAAATCGTTCAAGTGTTTACTCAGTTTATTCTACTCAAGCTATGGTGGATCTAGGAAATTCATTTTGGGAAGACGACGGTAATTTAAAAAAAATGGGAGGATGAAAATTATTTTTCGTAAATATATACAGTAATTTTTTTGTTGGGGCGATAGCCCCCTCCGGTCTCTACTACGGTCCGCCCATGTACTCATGTCATTCAACAATTTTAATTACACTATTAACAAATTCAATAAATGAAATAGTTCTCTGCCATAATAACGAGATATAAAGAGCTCATGCATTTAGATTAAGTTTACCTACCTTGTAGACAGTGGCGGATCTATGTTCCAAACTATGTGTGTTCATTTATTTTCTATAATTAAAATTTGAAAATGCAATAAATAATTAAATTAAATTTATACATGTATACTCGCTTATTTTTTTCAAATATAGGTGTTCATATGAACACCTTTGCACCTATACAGCTCCGCCACTGCTTGTAGACAATTTGTATCTCTAACTATATTTAATCTACTTTTTATAATAATATAATGACAGTGAAAATCAAAAGTGTATTTTTTAAAAAATCCGTAAAGTCAAACTTCTTTCATAACTGGAGCCCGGAGGGAGTAAATAATTTTAGATGTACTGTTTGTGTTATAGAGCCCGTTTGGTAGCACGAAAATCGATTGATTTGACTAATTATGTTGAAATTTATGAAGTTCTGAACTTCTGCCTGAAGTGGCTGCATTGACTGATTATGATGATTTAAGAAAAATTATTTTTAACATACACGAGTATTTTATTAATAAAATAAAGAAAAAATTATATGTAAAAATAGCTAAAATGATCATCTACAATAACTTCAGCCAGTACAGTCAGAAAAGTAGTTACAACCTTACTTTTTTGGCTTATTACACAATTTAGCGCGCAAAAACAAAAGTTACGTGTTTTGTGAAAAAGTTGGTTAATAAGCCTGATAAACCGAAAAACAGTGTTGCCAAACGGCCTCATAATCAAACTGTTTTTCTTGAAATATATGTATAAGCATGACTTGTTAACTAAAATCAAACTCATAATACATATACTCCATATCAAGTCATTAAACACATTAAGTTATGGTCTATTTAAGTTTATTCTTGTGATATTCAATCCGAACTGATTTGTTTTATGTTGTAATATGGTAAGTAATTTTTGTTTGTGTATTTTACTATCAAGTCGGGAACGTTTTGTTCTAATTTGATCAGTTTGAGTTTAATCTATTCTGGTTTGATGTGAGACTCAAATCAAATCAATAGCAAAAACAACCCAATTAATCAAAGAAAAATATTTGGTGTACACATTTTATTGTATGCCCAATCGTATGTGGACAGATAATTCTTTGTGCGTGAGACAGGCAAATGTACAAAAAGTATATACTAAAATGTGTACACCTAGCACATTTCATTAATCAAATTGGTTTCTCCCCACCTTTTAAAGTCACAAAAGGTAATCAGATACTTGTCGATCTCCTGTGCATTTTACATAGTAACCTCTCATCACAGTTGTTTGGACTCGAATCCAAAACTTACTCTTTATGTCACTCTCTATGTACAAGTTGAGTTACGAACACCAGCTATGAAATTCTTTCGTAACAGGAGAGATTTGTTTTACTTTTCCTCCGTGTTTTAATCAAACTATTTTTTCTTGAACTAGCATGACTGGTTAAGTAAAGTCAAATTCAAACTCTACGCTCCATATCAAGTCATCAAACAATTAAGTTATGGTCTATTTAAGTGTAATTTTGTCTTATCTAATAGGAACTGGTTTGTTCTTGTATGATAAGTCGTAAGTATTTGATTTTTGTGTATTTTACTAGTAAATCTGGTCGTGTTGTTCTAATTTGATATGTTCAAATTTAATCTATTCTAATTTAATTTGATCCGAGAATGAAATAAATTCAATATTAAACAACCCAATTGATCTAGGTGTTTTCTCCCCACCATCAAAAGTCACAAAAAAAATCCACTCATTTCGAGAAATAGAAAAAAAAAACCAATTGGTAATTGTATTCCATTTAATCTAGTGAATTACATGTCGGGTAATGCATCTCCTTTTGGCATTTCAATGGGCTACAACTATCGAATCTTTAATGGTGCACGTTAACTTTTGTGAATGATTTTTCAACACACAAGTTGCACAAAACTGAATTGAATATGAGAGATTGGACGGATTTGAAAGTTTTAGGGGGTTTGAATCCAAAAGACAAAGGAAGCCGGGAAGGAGGAAAAAAGGCCTAAGCCCTATCCGATCGCTCACGTCCCACGTTTCATGGGATTGATAGTATGGAAAAAGAAATTAAAGGTCACATAACTTTTACAGAACTCTTGATCATTTGGTCGGGAGGCAACCAACAGATTCGCCCATTCTAAATCAAAGCCCAATGCATACCGACTTCGTCATTATCAGCATCACCACTCTCCTCTCTGGGTAACGAGAATTACTTCTCAAGAAATCTTTTCCTTTTTGAGATTTTAGGTCCCTTTGTACTTAGATACGGAGTAACTATGAAGAGTCTTACCCATTGTATCTAATTTGTGATCAAAGTTCAATTTATATATTTTCGGCCAATGTTGAAAGTTCACATAGATGAGATGTCATCCTTTTTTAATTTTGATTTGTGGATCAACTTTTTATTAAATTCTTCGTTAAGATATTGATTTTGTCCAAATTTACCTTTTTCTTGGATTACAGTCAAGTTTCCACGTCATTTCCTCACGTTTTAATCTTAAGTGACATATGGAGTGGCCCTCATGGGTAGCTCAGTAACTCAACTAATCATAAGAGAGAAAATTGGAAAAAGTAATTTATGAACCAAATCGTCTGAAGTAGAAGAGATATCTCTCAAAGTGAGAATGTGAGAGACTCCTTGTACACAAGGGACACAAATCAAGCCTCTCTATCTCTATATCAAATAGAATTATCATAATTTACAACACCTAAATGTCTTGTTGAGCTAAGCTTAGTGAGCCTTGGAGGAATCAACCTTTAGGATTGATTACATTTTTTCCTAACTGTTTGATTAATAGAAACTATTTGATTATACTTTTTCATAACTAGGGAGATCCACCCGATTAGAATCAGATTGGTAACCTCTATTTTTCAATTTATCAAACTTATCGATCATTTTTGGGAAAACTGTCAAATAGGTCCTCGAACTTTCATAAAAAAGTCAATTAAGTCCTTCTATAGGAGATTCTGTTCGGCCGTCGCGATTTGGGACAGTTTCCGGTGGAATTTTTTGATGAAATTTTTTGAGCATTTTATTCACCAAGTCTAGTTTACTCATACCAAAGTTCAGCTAAAAATTTAATCGGGAACACATTCAAATTCATTCGAGAAGATAACTGCGCATTTTTGCGTTCTCGAATTAATTTGAATACACTCCCGATTAAATTTTTAGATGAAATTTGGCATGAATAAACTAGACTTGATGAATAAGTTGCTCAAAAAAATTCATCAAAAAATTTCATCGGTAACCGCCCCAAATCGCGATGACCGGACAGAGTCTACTATTGAAGGACTTAATTGACTTTTTTTATGAAAGTTCGAGGACCTATTTGACAGTTTTCCCATCATTTTTTCTATTAAAGATGTACTCCATCCGAAAATGTTCCAAAAAGATTTACCATTTCTATTTAAAATAAGGAATATGTATCTAAAGTTAATTTTTTTCCCTCTGCAAAAATTTCAACCAGCCAGTTTTTACGTGGAAAGTCAACTTTATCTTGAATTGACTTAAGTTATTAGTGAAAACTATTTAACTACGTGGTAAAAAATATATTTTATCAATTTTTATTTATTTTAATTATAAAGTATATTTAAAATATATATTTTTAAAATATTTCAAAGACAATCCGGCACAAACTCATTATTTTAAACAAATTAATCAACTACAGAACTACCAAACACGGCCTTAGATGTTACGAAGTATATTCGGAATTTCATTAAATATTACCAAAGGCACTACGGAATAATAAATATTAATTCAATTTCCTCAGATTTACTATTTGCTGATATGTTAAATCGAAGAGGAAACAAACAAAATAAATTACTCCGTACTTTCACTCTGCTCCCCATGTACAAAACGTTGACCGTGAAAATCTCTAAATTCCACTCGCAACCCTAAATTTGGCCTATTTTCAATTCAAATCCCTGCGGTCAACTCTCTGCAATCCCATTTTGGATCTCCACAAATCCGTTATTTACTTCTTCCTCGCCGTTGCCGTCAATTTCCCCCGCCGCTGCAACATTTTCATTTTCGTCCTCCTCCCACCGCATTGCCGGCACACACTCCGATTTGTGGCGGGACCTCCAATCCATCCCCTGACAAGCTCGGGAGCAGTAGTTCACGGCGCCGCAAACAGAGCACCGGCGGAACTCGTGCCTGCGCGACTCCGGCCTTCCGCAACCGGCGTTCGAGCACAGCCGGAGCCCCGGACCGGGGACACCGTCCTTCTCCGCGTACCAATCGGTTAAGAACTTGTTGGCCGGGTGAGGATCCGCGCAAGGAACGTCACACCCGAAATCACTCAGCAACGGGCAGCTCGTTCCGGCGGCGATGTGGCGGTGGTGGGGCAGGGGATTCCATGCCAGCCATTCGCTGTTTTTAACCGCCGTTGGAGTGGTGGTGAGCACATTCGCCAGCTCTCGTGCGTTGGCTTGGACCAGAAACCGCCGTCCCTCGGCGATGTTCCGTTTAACGCCGTAACCGTCCTGGAGGCAGTGCCCCAGCTCACGAAGCGCGTCGATGTGGCCGAGGAATGCGGCTCGAGCGCTGAGCGCGACGCCGGCACGGAGGTCCTTGTCGTTCTTCGAGCCACCGCTGCCGTTAAACTGTATGATTGCGAGAGAGTAAAGCGCCGGCGCGTGTGAATTAATCGCCGCCTTCGCCATAAGTGAAGCGCCGCTGCCTCGATTCTCCAAGCAGTAAAACCGAATCTGCTTCCCGAAATAAATAATCAGAATACCATAATCAGAACTATTTTCCTTGTAATATATAGCAATAACAATAAGAAATTAAAAATATCAGGGGATAAATAATAAATTAGAAATACACCAACCATGCCGAGAATGTAACAAGCTTCAACGTTTCCAGAATCGGCACAAAGCTTGAGGAATCGGTGAGCCGACTCGGACCAGTTCTTCGCATTAACGGCTAGCATTTCCGGCGAAGCTTTGGATAAAACCAGAGAGTGAACGCCTAATCCATTTAGCCTTTTGCATCTGAAAGGAAGATACAGAAATGATTAATTACTCCATTAATGCACAAAAAGTGTAAAAAATAATTAAAAACATTTCAAAAAGGAGATCAAGGAGCATACGTGATCAAAACGTTAATAAAATCTGCAGGACATTTAGCTTTGGAGCTGAGATTCGATAGAATGGACAGGACGATATCGTCCGGCAACGAATCGAGGAAGTCCGGCTTGTTTGTAAACTCCGGCGAGATTTTAGATCTCTTCCGATTCGTCGTTGCCCTCTCTCCGCCGGCGACGGCGGCGGAAGAGGCTTTCCTTCTCTTCATTCCTCTGTTTTGTCCACACATATCTCCTCCAAATCCTTGTTATTATCCCTCTGTTTCTGAGTTTTTGGTTTGAAATTTCCAGAAAATTTGTAAAACAGGACAAAGTTTTAAGATTAAATACAAAATGGAGAGTGTTCTTCGAAATCCAAAGGGATAGAGTGAAGCAAATGACTTTATATAAGGGAGCAGTAAAATGAAAGAAGAAAATGAAAATAAATAATTTTGGGCATTTACTAGAATACCCCTGCGTTTGTCCCGTTTTGAAGACAGAACTCGGTCAAATACCGCTGACCGGATCGGTAGATCCCCACGCCCGTCGTCGACGACGCTTTCTGTCTCCTTTTGTACAATAAAAATACATTATTATACGGTTCCGTATTCCATACCGAGACAAAATAAAATACGTACTGGCCAGAAAGAAATACGTACAGGTACAGGCACCTAAATCAGAAAACGAAAAGTAAGGGAATAATAAAAAAAGGATGATTCTTGACTATTTGTACTACCGTAATAATTTCAATTGTACGAAAAATTAAATAAGGCCGTGTTTGGCATACCACATGGAATAAACTACATCTTGGTGGGGGAGAGGAGGCTGTTATGTGTGAGAAGAAATAGTAAAAAATTGAGCTTTGAATTTTCCAGTTACATTGTGAGATTTGTAAATTAAATCATGCCTAAAAAGGGGCGAGAAATGAATATGATTGAAAAAATCAATGAGGATTTTTGCATATAAAATCATTAATTCTCTGGTGGAATTATGGAAGAAGGTAAACACTTCTACCAAACAAATAAGACGTAAAAATAGTGCCCATTCGAGTTATTATTATCAACTACTGCGTAATATTCTAATAAGATGTTTATTTGAACTCAAATGTTCCGTATTACGGAGTGTAACCAATTCTTATATGAAGTGGTCCTATCCGAGTCCTTCTAAAATGAGCTACTTTGATTTGTGCATATTTGACTATAAACTAAGTTTAATTTAGTACGGTTTAATCAAATTTTATTTATTATGTTTGTTTATTTCTACTTTTATTTAGTTGGATTTTGTTATTTCATTTTTAATAAAATCAAATTCGATTTGATTACATGTGATCTGTGCAGGGCCGTCTAATGGATTTGGAGGCCCTGGTTCAAAATGTAAAAACGGGGTCTCACATTAATATAACAAATTTTTAAAAATCTCAATCTAAATACTTATATTCAAATCAATTGAATATTGATTAAAAGAGAACTAAAAGAGTGAAATGACCAGCGAAAAAAATGGATCTTTATTTTCCTTCCTTACTTGGTAATTATAGTAATACGTAGTATAATATTACTATATAATATTAATGCATTTTTAAAAATTTAGGGCCCTTGTTCCGGATAACCTATTGACCACCCTAAAAAACGTTCCTGGATCTGTGCTGGCATGGAGGTGCAATCCACCCAAATGATCAGAAAATAAAAAAAAGCGTAGTTGAAAATTTAAAATTGAGGTATATGAAAATTAAATAATGAGTATCAAACTACCAATTTAGCGCTCATTTGATAATACTGAAATTAGCTTGATCGATTGATTCTATTAAAATTTATGAAGTTACAACTGAAATGACTAGATTGACTTAAATTAAAAAAAAATCTAGTAACTTCATTCAATCTAACATATATTTATAAACCAATTTAGAGTTCGTTTTATTTTATTTCATAAAAGTAACACCAGTCTTACTTTTTCATATTATAAAAATTGCGTATTTAACGAAAAATTTGATTGATAAATCAAAAAGAGGATAATCAAATGGGTTGCGTTTGACCTATTAATGCTTACATGTTATTCATCCCTTTCTCTTTGTACGTCTATATATTAGGATTTAGGATTGATTTGGTACTTTGGTTCGATTGCTTTGAAAGGAGGGAAAGACATGGGTACTATATTAAAAAAAATCTGCATTTAGTTGGTTAGCTACAAATGATGATCAGAAATCACGTGAAAATACATATGTTAACTAATCAAATTGTTATTTCTATTTTAAAATCTGTCAAAACATAATGCGAAAAGAGATAATTTCAGATAAGCCTGATAAGGTATGGACGTTTCTTTTTGCACGTACTAAAGATGATTTTAGAACAAAAGACGTGACAATAATGAAAACATTGCTTTTTTATCTTATTGTCAGCCTGGAAGCAAATGTCAGCCACTGTATCCCAAACCAAATTGTGTCTAAATTTAGGACCAATAAGGCTGGAACAATGAAGAGCATGATCACCCCAGATATCCATACTACGTAAACAACATGAACAAATAACACCTTCTTAGAAGAGAGGAATGCCAAGCCTGTAAGCAATAATAGCAGTAAACTGCCTAGGATTGAGAGTTTGTCCAAGCCCTTCAGCGGGAATTGCAAGGAGAAAATCCATAGCATATTTCATTTTGTTACTTCTCCAAAGAGCTAAGTCTCTACAACTCATATTGAAACTGGAAGCCACGCTCTTAACTACACAAGTGAAATATTGGGACGCCAAAGCTTTCATAGGATGGGGGGCAAAAACAATATTACCTTGAGTAGCAGGCAGACCACATGCTTGGTTAAAAATACATTGAGCCTGCTGCAGGGGAAGAAAGCAATCAGAAATTGAAGTATGGCTAAGGACTTGAGCTTGTAACCCTTTAGTTTGGATATAAGAAGCTAGGTAACAATACAAAAGGGTATCTTTCAAACAATAAATACCCAATCCTCATTTTTCTCGGCTTTCGTATCAAAAGTGCTTTTACTTTTTCTATTACACAAAAAGCACTTATTTTACCAAACACTACCAACTTTTACTTTTCAAAATCATTTTTTCTCAAACACTATCAACTTTTATGTAATCACTTTTCCTCATTTTATTAAAAAAAGCACTTTTTTAAAAGTAGAAGCCCGTGATTGGTCTTTGGATTTGGTCTAACAACAGACGAAAGGATTCAGTTACCGTGGTTGGTTTTTGTTTGGTTTAATGCCCGTTTTATATCCAGCCACACTCTTCCTAAGGAAGTTTTTTATACTTGGAAGAAAAGTGTATATTCGAGTTGCATCAATTTGAAGAAGTATTTTAAAAAAGTTAGAGTTTTTTTTATGGTAAAAAAAGTTAGAGTTATGATTTTAATTGAATTGGATTTTAATTTAAGATCAGACTAATAGAGATCATACTAGATTCAAGGCCATGTTAGATCACATCCAATTTAAATAATTTAAATAATAACGATAAAATGCATACTCACCACATGTCCACATGTTTGCTAAATAACTTAAATAGATCAGACCATGACATGCATGTAAATTTCAATGCAATTAAAAAATATTCTGAGAAAATTTGTTCAAGTAAACAAGTGTACTTAAATTTTACTCAAAAATACTAAAACTATACTTGATGCTCAATAATAGCAGTAAACTGCCTAGGATTGAGAGTTTGTCCAAGCCCTTCAGCAGGAATTGCAAGGAGAAAATCCATAGCATATTTCATTTTGTTACTTCTCCAAAGAGCTAAGTCTCTACAACTCATATTAAAACTGGAAGCCACGCTCTTAACTACACAAGTGAAATATTGGGACGCCAAAGCTTTCATAAGATGGGGGGCAAAAACACTAAAACTACTTGAAAATTTGTTACTTGAAAATTTGTTACTTGAAAATTTGTTCAAGTAAACAAGTGTACTTAAATTTTACTCAAAAATACTAAAACTATACTTGATGCTTAATTCGAAAAAACATGGACTATTTGTTCAGCTCCAAAATTTGATTTATACTTGAAAATTTGTTCAAGTAAACAAGTGTACTTAAATTTTACTCAAAAATACTAAAACTATACTTGATGCTTAATTCGAAAAAACATGGACTATTTGTTCAGCTCCAAAATTTGATTTATACACACACAAGCACACACAAATTGGAGGGGTTATAAATAAAGACCTGTCTGTACCCGGGACGGAGCCAACAAGGGAGGTGTGGTGTCAATTGACACCACTGATTTTTTTTCCCGCATAAGTAGGTATATAAAATTTTTGAAAATTCTAAAATTGACACCACAACAACAACAACAACAACGTTCAAGCCTTAATCTCAAAATATATTGGGGTCGACTAACATGAATCGATACATGATATCACCACCAAAAGGAAAAGAAAGAAAATAAAGATAAAAAAATAAGCTAATATAAAAAGATAATATAAAACGAGATGAATATACCTAAAAATGATAAAATAAAAAGGGAAAAAATAATGTTTATATATATAAGGATAAAAGAATAAAAAAAGAAGAAGAAAAAAGATGAGGGGAAAAAATAATACGAGATCACCCCTCCACACGAATACTTGCCCTCCACCTTGCTCTCTCCAAAGTCATACCCTCATCCAACCCAAGAAGAAGCATATCACTTCGGACTCCCCAACTGAAACATAAAATTCTTTGTATAGGTGTATGTAATGTTTCATAAATTATAAATTGATACCACTCCACTAATTAAAGAAATGGGGTTCAATGTAATATTTTTAAAAAATTGGAACACCAACTTAAATCAATTGAAAGCCAGGCAATTGAAAATTGCAACACCAACTTAAACTGAACAATGAGTTGAAGCTCAAACACTATTGCAATTGGTCCAATCTTTTGATTTTGCTTTCACCATACACTTGATAAACAAATGAGTTGCCATGGAATTGGTTAAAGTTGCCAAGGAACGACAAATTTGCTCTTTTTGCTTTATGTGTTTATAGATTATTATATAACACTTCCCCCGTCCCGCTAAGATTGTCCCAGACACTATTCACTTGGTCAACACAAATCACTCTTAATCTTTTATTTTAAGGAAAATCGCACTTTTAGTCCCTGAAATAGTCATGAAAATGAAATGGCGGACCCGTATTTCTGATATTGTAAATGTCACCCTCAATTGTCCAATTTGTTATAAATGTGGTCCTTTAAGGGGTGAAATATACTCTCGCCCACATTGTATATTTCACACCTAAAACGACCACATTTACAACATTTAGGACAATTGAGGGCATATACTCTCGCTCCAACACCTTTTTGAATAGCTAACCCAATTCTAATAAAAAGAAAATTTCCAACTTTTAAGGTAGAATCATGTCTACCAATGTGACTCTTAACACGCTTGAGAAACAAAACA